CAGCAGCAGCAGCAGCAGCAGCAGGGGGGGGAGGAGGAGGAGGAGGAGGAGGAAGAGCTGAGCAGGCCGTCATCCATATGCATGACTGCCAAACCAGGAAGGGGCTGAGCTTCCTCCCTGCCAATGGCAAGCCAACCCGGAGTGGAACAAAAGACGGTCTCTCCATTGGCTGCCCGGGCGGAGGAAACCGAGAGAGGAGGAAGGGCAGAGCTGCCCGCTTGGGGGAGGGGGAGAGACAGCCCGTCTCCGCTAGATGCCCCCGGGAGGGGGGGCGTGCCAGACTCCCCTCCTGATTGAGCAGGGCGGGGGGCCTTGCCGGGGACGCTCTGCTGCTTCTCCACCCGCCCCCGACAGAGCCTGGGCGCTGCAGGAGCACCGGGGTTAGCAAGGATCCCGTCCAGCTTTGCAGCCCCGTGCCTGGAAGAAACGTCCTCGGGTTCCCCCCTTGGGGAGTATTATGCACGGCCCTTTCCCCCCACGCTCGGCATGGCCGCCGCCTGCATGGCGATGCAAGGCGCTCCCCATCGTGACCCCTTGGCCACACCTCGCACCCCGGCTTGGTTGTCCCCAAACCGGGTGCCTGCCTGGCCTTTATTTCTCCCCAGTTAAAGCCACCACAACGGTCTTCCCTGCCCTCCACCGTTTCCACGGAATTAGCAATTCCCGGAGAAAACAATGTTGTGCAACCAGCAACGCGAGTGCCTCCAGGGACTGCAAAGGAAGCTGGAAAAGAGGACGGTGGAAGGAACGCAGCTGCTCAAAAGGCGCCTTGAAGAGATTTTGGGGAAACAGCTCCTCTAATGAAAATCAGCCCTGGCCCAAGGCTTGAGGCCTGTTGCCAAGGAGGAAATCATCATAGTCCAAGTCCTACCTTTGCATTCTTCTTAGGCCAGGATACCACAGGGATCCCAGAAATGGCCAGATTCTGGTCATCGTCTGCATGTTCCTTCAAGATGTTCTGTTTCCAAAGCCAAAAAAAAAGGAAATTACCTATCAGGGTTTTGTAAAGGCTAAGTTCACACAGTCTACTACCATTTGACTTTTATTTAAAGTCACTGGGCTTCATGAACCGTGGCTTATAAATTTGCATGTGGGTGGACCCAGCCATTTTGACTTGCTCAATAAACCATAAGAAAGCCAATTTTGGCTCGTGAACAAATCAAGGTGGTTAACTTGACTTGGGCTTGGCCTATGGTCTGAATCTGAGCCCCAAGGATTCCTGTCACACCATACGCTCTGGTTTCTGGTAGAGGACATCGCATGAAAACAACCCGTTGTGGCTTTTCCAAAAAATTATAATAATCCTGGGTTGCCACAGCATACAAACCAGCGTTAGAACAAGACAAAGCGCTGTGTTATTTCACTGGCATTATGTCAATTTCCTTTTTACATGCAAGATCAGCAGGATAGTCTCAGGAAAAATGGGAGACAGGAAATGAAATAGGCAACGGATGGTTCGTGGCTCAGCCAAGTTCTCCCCAAAGCAGGTGGTCCCTTTCCAACAGAAGCTACTCGCCTCCAAAGCAAGGGAATTTGTGAGTCCCTGCTTCATCGGCTCTGCAGAACGATACCCCACATGCTAAAAATTAAATAAGAAAATCCCTCTAAGAGGAACACCTGCATTTTCCCGAGGAACAGAAAGAAAAGCCCTCATTTGTTCCTGAAATAAAAGTAAGAGGGGCTTCCAGGTTGCAATTTCCTGAGTGCTAAATTTAAACCCTTGAGTGGATTACTGTACAATATATTTTTTTAAAAATGGCTAAAATATTGAAATACAAAAGAAGGCAAGAAAAGAAATGAAATAGAACAAAAAATGACTCCCACATATAGATTTTAAAAATGCATAATAAAAAAAAATTAAAACTTTTGGGTGAAAGATTTCCCCGCCCCTTCCCTTTGTGTCCCCAACCCATAACCACAATTTAAATATTTGTACTTCACATCCAACGTTAACGACTGTTGTTAGTTTCTGTTTAAATCCTAAAAATCATAGGTTAAAATATAAATCTGTGAGACAACCTGCCTGAAAGAAATGGGACATTTATTCTTTCTCACCACCTCCACAAACCACTAGTTAAAAACAACCATGAATAGAGTTTGTTCCCAGATCGCTCAACACAACACAACACAACCCTTCAAAATGCTTGAATGGGCATGGTTAAAGCTTATGACTATGCTCACAGCACTAGCTAAACCATGGTGTTTCACTGTTATCTGAACAAATCACCTTTGCAGTGGGTTCACATGACCCACTCCACCAGCGTCCCTGAACTTAGTGGCTTCCAGAGTCTTGGGACCATCATTCCCAAGCCAAGGGCACAAGAACACTGTATGAAACCATAAGCCATGATTTACAAACAACACTGACTGGGCTTAAGCTACATGTGAAGCCACCAACCAACAAACCCCATCTCAGGTCTACGGAAGGAAACGTTTGCCCATTATGCACCTTCATATCTTCCAACAGAGCTTGTGGGTCATCAATGCCTTCGGGGACGCATTTCTTATTCTCCGGAAGGGATTCCAGTTTTTCCACAAGGGCCCTCAAGCCTTGCAGTTCAAATTCGGTCAAGTGAGTCCACTTGGCTGGGACCTCCGTGGCAGGAGACCCTGTGGGGGTCTTGGGATAGTCCACTGTAGCTGACTTGATACTTTCCTCTGACTCATTGGACAGAGTCCTTTTGAAGTACCGTCCAGCTACAGATTTCGGTTTCTTCCCCACCGTCTCTTTTCCTTCCGAATGTGTGCTGTTAGGAGAAGAGGGCACGTCGGCCGAGATCTTGAGGATTTTTTCAGGGTTGTTGTCCTTCTCTTCCTGGGCGCGAGCATCACACAATTCATCATCCATGTCTCCCCAGGAATCAGATGAGAAGCTATCCACACTGCGTTTCCTTGTCGTATCTGGAGGAGGGGAGAAGACAGATGGAAACCCTTCAGAAGACAGAGTGCAACAGGATCTCTGACAAGGACCACAACATTCTTGTTTGCTGATTTACCCTAGTTATTTCTATCCTGCTTTTCAATATACAAACCCAAACAGGGCACCAACCATCATAAATAAAAGCGCAATGAATATTTTTTGTCTGCGTGCGTGCCTTTGAGTTATCGTTTCTTGGCAACATTTCTGGAAATGGTTTGCCCTTGTCTTCTTCTTCCTAGGGCTGGGAGAGAAAGTGACTGGCCCAAGGTCACCCAACTGGCTTTGTGCCTAAGGCAGGACTGGAATTCACAGTCTCCTGGCTTCTAGTCCAGCACCTTTAATCAGGACACCAAACTGGTTCTCTTAGAGAGACATACAACTCCCCCAACATAATCTCCTCCTGTAGAGAGCAAGGAAGATGACCTTGACGAAGATACGCAACTTCCATTGCCAAGGCAACAAGGAGTAAAACACATCTTAAGTCCACAACAACCAGATAACATTCAGAAGCGGCTTAGACAGACACCTCCCTAACTCACTGAACTGTAAGTAGGAGGAGATGGTACAACATCATCATATTTTCAAGACTGATGTCAGCCCTTCTAGGAAGACCAGACCAAGGAATCAATTCCACAGGAAGTCTAAAATCACTTTTATTGAGAGTGGCTATAATAACAGAATCTTGCAAGTCTGTAGATACCCCCTGGATCAGCAGCATCTTTACCCCCAGTTATTCCTCCTTAGACCCAGATTTCTCTCTCTTGGAAGGTAAGGCTCTGCCTACTTCCTACTTCAAAGGTGATGGAAGATGCTCCCATCACCAGCAATCAAGCAAATTCAACCACCAGCTCTTTGGCAGACAGTGCTATCTTAGCCTCAGGCAATAAATGCCTTGGACCATCCTTCTCCTTGACCAGCTGTTTTTCTACACACTTAACAGTATCTGATCACCTTCCCTCCTTGGGCATGTCCATATGTGCTAACTCAAGAGGCAGCTGTGCCATGTGCTGAAGGATGCTTCTTGGGGGGGCAGTAAAAGCAGAATTAGAGCTCTTTCCAAGGGCAAGCTGGTGACCAAAACTATCCATGCATCTGCCAGGACCACTAGTGCTTCTCCAGAGTTGGGTGGAGACATCTACAGAGGTTCTGTTTGGCACACAGGAGATCTCCAGTCCAGTCCCTACTTGAAAAAGATTCTGCAGACAAGGACACCTTTCCATCTCTCCCTCCTGGTATTCCAAAAACACATTAAAGTCCAGGCAAATTACTTACCAATTAGCATTGATTCTTGTAGATACTCTTTGCGGAAATGAGAGCGCTGGGTTAGACAGAACACGTATCTCTCCAGAACATACCAACACATCTCATAGTAGAACGGGTAGCGGAACTTGGCCTGTACCTGTGAAAAACAACATGGGAAAGTGTCTGAAAGAGTGCCCATCCTTCCACCACCAGTTCACAATATGGAGAGCAGAGGTTGCTCAGGCGGAGGCAGAAAAGTAGAGAAGTTGCCTTCAGCATGTGTAACCGAGACCCTCCTTCTCTTTGCAGCTCACCAGATTTGTATCTTCCTGTGAGGGGGAATTTATCAGATACACCTTCAATTTATCAGATACGTCTCATCTTGTATGGGTGAAGTTCACCATCACAGTTAGCCATGGTTTTCTTGAACCATAATTTGTTGAAGAAGTCACCATACCAGCTGGGTTCGCATGCTGGGCCGAGCCATCAACCATGGTTTCCAAACCACACTGACTAGTTCACACAACACACCAAGCCCAAGTCAACCAACAACATTCTGGTTTAGCATGATTTGTTCAGCCTGATATTCCCATTCCTAGGACATCTAAAAGAACTCCCAATCAGAGTCAAATGACCAAGAGGCCAGCTAAACCTTGCCCTCAGGAGCAACTATACTCAGGGTCAAAAAAGTCAAGGCGTTTTTTTTTTTAAACACACACACAACCATACACGCCAGCAGATGTGTCTGCTTATGCTACCAGTTACCTTAGAGGATAGACCTCAGCTTTGGATCTGGGCAACTATGGAGTAAGTTCAACTTCTGCTCCTGCCTCGTGGCACATCTTTAGGCTAAAGGACAATCGCTTTTGGGTCCTATTCTATTTGTGGATTGGAAAAGATACATATGCTCAAAAATGTCTTTAGGCAGCTGATCTCCAGGAATACTTGTGCAAAAGTGCGCAAGTGTGCCAAGTCAAAATGACAGGGCTGGTAGGCCTCAGCCCTCTGCAGAACTGTAAGTCCTGGCAAATGTCTGTTTCTTTCCAATCTTTGAAGCCACTCTTATATCTCAGTGGATATAATTTATTGCATTGGTGATGCTTCAGATTCCGGAGAGGGCATCTCTATCACCTGCTCCATGATTTGTTTCTCTAGAGATGGTAGGGACTAAACCTTGGATCTTTTGCTAGGAAAACAGATGTTCTCCCACGCACCATTGAAAAGAGAGACCCTGAAATCTTCTCAAGTTGGCCATTCCTAAATATGTGTAATCGCCATTCAAATTTGGGGTGTCAGGGACCACTCCTAGGGCATCTCTTCCTCACCTGAGGCCAGGGTTACGTGTCTCAGATTTCCCAGGAATTCTGTAGTTCCTGCATATTTGAAGAAACCCAAATTTGGGAAGGACCCCGGCAATGTTAAGAGTGGCGTTCATAAAAGGAACTCAAATCATTCTCTTTTTTCCCCCATTTCATCTTATTCCAAAGAGAGCACTGCGGGAAACAAAATTTGCAAAGAATTTGACTTACAAACAGGAAGCCGCCTGTTCCACCCTCCGCCTTCAAAAGGTTTTCAGCCACATGCCTGGGGAATATATTAAAGACATCATTTGCTCAATGTTTTCCTGGCAGATTTTTTTGCGCTTCACCAAATTTAATTTTGCTTCTTTTTGGGGGGGGGGGTGGATGGAGGAAACCAGTGCGTTTTTTAAAAAAAGAAAAAAGCTGAAATGCTTAAGACTAGGTGGTTAGAGGCATGCAGTGCTCCCGTGCTGTGGAGAATCAATCTCCAGCCATCAATTTGAGTTCCTAATAACCTCGCCCCTCTGGACTCCCTCTCGTGGCCAACTCTCTCTGCACCTCATATTGGAATCTGCCAGCTCACAGATGTGAAACAGACATTTGCCACACACAGACAAAAACGGTGGGTCTGCCAGTGGTGAGCCAACTGTTGTGGGAAGGTGGAGGCAGGTAGACATTCTGTACGCATTTTTTTTATTGCTGGAAACGACTTCCTGCCCCGTGTCGCCTTCTACTCTGATCCAGGAAGGGGACTCTTCTTACAAAAAGGTTAGCAACGTTCAAAAGTAGGTCCATCCGCAACTTGCCACAACTTGCACATTCCCAGACAGTATTGGGCTGATCTACATTTGCTGGGGGACAAATCACAAGAGATCTGGCCTTCGTTCTATGCCGCAAGGAAGAAGAAATCCGAGATTCCTGCAAGAACCCAACTCTTGCTTGGTGTTTTGCGTGCGAGTACATGTCAGGGTGGAGAACGCAGGTATTGGGAAAGGAATTTAGACAGGGAGGGCAACAGGTAACAACTATGCTCCTGGAAAGAAGACAAGAAGAGCAGGGTGTAAGGAATTTAAGGATGCCCCCTTTTATATGCCCTTTAGTGGACGGTGTTTGACAAGAAGAACCAGAAGAGGGAAATCACATCCAGGTTCAAGATGGGTGGGCAAGGAAGATCAACACAACTCTGATCCATCCTGCCTTCATCTTCACACCACCCTACTGCTGTTGGTCTCTTCTGTTCCAACTGAACATGCGATCTTGACTTGACTACCGCCATGATTCAAGGCTACAGTAAAGGTGAGCCTTAGGAATTTTTCAGATAGATAGGACCTCATTTTCTCACATGCTTTGGAGAAGACACAGGCTTGTCGTTATCTCAAGATTTTCTCAGCCATTACAATGGTCCTCAACTTACCTTTTGAAAAACAACATGGGCTGGGTATATCACAACAGCCCCAACATCCTCAACTGTCCTCTGCAATACAACCCAAGCCTACAAAATGTAGGAATTAAAAGCCTGATGCTATCAGGATGAAATGGCACCTATGCTGTCAGGAAACCAAGGCACTTGTTCCCATCTTCTGATAGGAGATGTTTGGTCCCAAACACACCCTTTGAAGACTGGGCACAAGAGCACCGGCATCCACCTGTGCAACTGGTTGGAAAGGCCCGACACATCTGGAACAGCAACACACAGATGAGTCCAGCAGAAACAGGGACAGAGATGACACTTTGGTCTCCGTGATGCCCTTTGGAAAAAAAAAATCCCAGAATTCCCTAGAAACAGCTGATGAGGGTGAGATTTTGTAATTTGCCAGCAGTCAGAGAGCCAATCAGATGCAGTTTCCATGACAAAACCCAACATTCTAAACCCTTTCAACCACGGAGGAACCAATCAGAAACAAGGGGTGGAGCAACCCTTCCCCACTGTTAGCACCCACTTGATGTGGCCGCTCCCTTGGATTTTTTTATTCCAGTCCTGAGGATGCTCCTGAATGGCAGATACCTGTTCCTCAGTCCCCCACAGATTAAAAGCCATATTCTTGTAACACACTGGCTCGTAGCCTACCATGGTTTAGCAATGGTGCATTATGGAAACCCAGCCCAAACTGTCAGCAAACAGCTCAGCATGCCATGAGAATTCAAAAAACTGACCTGAGTAAACCTGGTTCACTTAACCACAGGCAAGCTCGTCATGGAAATGCAGTCAAGGAGAGGATGAAGGCCACAGTGCTTATGAATTCATTTGGAAGGAAGAGCAACCCTAAACCTCCAGATGAGGGAGACAACGAGAAGCAATCTCCAGCCCAAACCCCAATTCTACAGCATCTCAAAGCTTCTTCAAGAGCATTCCTTAGCTCCACACAGTAATGTCCAAACTAGACCATTCACTGGGGAGTGAGAAAAATGCTCATTAAGTTGTCGGAAGCCCATCTCAACAACGACCGATATTCCCCTGCAAATCCAGGAGTTTTTCAGAATTCCAATTTTTCCCAACAAGAGCAGAAACCAGGCCTTGAAGCAGCATGTATTAACTTAAAAGAGAACTAGATTCGCATGTGCCCTAAGCTATAATTTTGTTAAACCTGGTTGGCTAACAAGATGGAGATTGTAAACCCATTAAAGCAACAAAACACCTTACCACGTGGTGGAAAGTGTGATCTCAGCCATTGTGGTTTGTAAATCATAATTTGTGGCTTACCATGATGTATTAATCCAGCCATTCTGGTTTATCCTACTGTAGCTTATAGCTCAGAATGAGTGAGAACTTGGCCAACTGTGATCACTCAACACACCATGGCCAAACTCCGTGGGTGAACCCAACTCTCAAGTTTATCCAGACTGGTGACCAGACAGCCAGAGGAGACCAGTTCTCCACCAGCTGCTCTGCTTTGAACCTCAGCCTTTGTTTTTCTTGGTTCTGAGATCGCAACATAATGCTCCAAAAATCTGAATACCTAAACCCAACCAAAAGATCAGGGAAGTTTCCTGTGAACAACCAATGTACCCTATTCCAGGCACCCTGGTGCCTTCTGCAGAGCAAACTATGATCAGAGGTGTTAAGTCAAAATCTATGGTGCCCTTACCCTTGTTCTGTCCTCAATTTCATAAATGCGAAGCTGCATGGGAACGTTAAAGCTATGCAAGATATTTCCACCAAACACCAAGGAATCTACTGGTGTATAAACGGCATGTATCCACCCTAGAAAGATGGGGAAGAGAGGAAAGAATGCACATCACAAAAAACTGTCACATCGGGTATAAATCCCAAAATCCTAAACTTCTGCTCTCATCTGGCCAACAAAACTGTGTTTTTCTTCTGGGATCTGCTTCAAAAGTCTTTCTGTTCAGCTAGAGCCACTGAGACACCACCAACCCTGGATCGGAGCACTGGGAATAGGCTAACGCGTGAAACAGCCAGAGGAGCTACACAAGGCTAAGTTATCTTTATAGTCTGCAGTAAAAGGACATCATTTTTGTAAGGTTTCCCTACTTGAAGAACTGGCTGCAAGCAGAAGTCCAGAGCCAACGGAAAGGGGTCAAAACTCTTCTGCATGAAGGCAATCATTCCCTCTTGGCGAGAGTCTTAAGGTACACTACCTACTCCACCTCTCCCCTCATTCTGGATCTAACGATGGCCGCCTACAGATACGTTAACAGTAAGGGTTGATTTTGAAAAACTAGGTGCTATTCTTAAAGGGAGTTACCTGAAGGAATGAAAAACGTATGCCCTTGTTTTAGTTCAATTCTTTGGCACAGCTCCACACGGTCCCCCAGAAAAATATCACTTTGCTTCCCAGAGACAACCCATTCCTCGTAGAGTTCTAGGTTCTGCAGTGTTGGAGGAATCAACCAAAAGATCTAGAAACAGATACAAAATCAGAAGGTGGAAATACTCTGCATCTGTTGTTCAGAAGCAAACTTGCAATTCAGATTCCTTTCATGCCATGAAGCAGGTAGTCCTACCAGTTCTCTCTTCCTTTTCTCACCAGGCAAAAATTGTCTGGTTGCTCTACAGCCCTTCTGGCTGGAACTGTGCCATGGCACGCTTGTCAAATCAACCATATAGTTGCAATGCCCAACTTCTTTAGACCATCCCAAGAGAACTGCTCTGATGGTCCTGAAACCTGGGCAATACAAATGGAAAGATCTTGGAGAACATCTGGATTCCGCCATATTCAATCATTCTGCACCCAGATACTACCTGCTGGCATGTATTCGTTCTGTTTCCTTAAACTATGGTGTGTTTGTCCCAGTAACAGCTAGACAGATTATAAATGGGCGCAAACACATGCATGTGAAAATATGTTATCCAGCTGGAGGACTTATTTATGGATGGATAGATGGATGGATGGATAGATGGAGGACGTGCCATCAAGTCAGTGCTGACTCTTAGTGACCACACAGACAGACCTTCTCCAGGATGGTCTGTCCCCAACCTGGTCCTCCAGGTCTTCAAACAGTGCACCCACTGCCGGTGTAACTGAGTTTATCTCCAGGACTAATGGAGGGATCCAATCAGAATTCAGCAAAAGGAAGATGCTATTTTGCTGTATCAGAAGCCAATGTCAGAGCCGTATCAGAGCCAATCCGGCTCCACTGGACATTTAAAAATGAGAAGCCATTGAAGTGATTTAATGTGTGATCCATCCAAATAATAATTTGTTACTGTTTTGGGTTTTATGATGAGTTTCTAGTGCTTAATTTATTTCTCCAAAAACAGCAAGATGCTTTTTTAAGCTGAGAGTAAAAAAACCAAACGGAACAAGACAGACTGAACAAACATTAAAAAAGAAGCAAACAAGCCACGTTCAATATTCTATTTTAGATTCACACCACAGCAAGGCTGCCTTTCCCATCTTGGTGTTCCCGCCCGCTCAAGCTTATTTTGGAAAAAAACTGAGCCTCAGCGGTTTACAAGGATTTTGTAAAGGCTACCCTTCCTTGCGTACAGGGAGAGTTTGCATCTGCTTACCTTTCCTCCCCGGAAAACGTGATACCAAACCGAAGTGCCGCCGAAATCAATGTGAAAATCGGTGAAGCATCCTTTCACGCTCATCAGACAGTACCTGGGAAAGACATCATCTCTTCAAAAGAAGGCCACCCCCAGAGAAGGGTTCTCATGGGCGCATATGTAAATGAGACAAATCAACACTTCCCGGTTAGTTATCTGGATGGGGTTTTACAAACAGCCGCTGGGTTTCTGCTGCGGGGGGGAAAAGGGCTGCCCAGGTAATGCAAATGCCCGCTCTTCTCTGAGTGCCCGACTGAACAAACACACCATTCTGCAACACGGAGAGGCCACCGAATTAAACTGGAGATCCGCGTGGGCTGTCCCTGGTTCTCGGTTCTCAGAACAACTCTAGCCGAAGCTCACTTGGAGCACTAGACTTAAAAAAAGAAGCAGCAGCAGCTTTCTCTTCCCGGGCAAAGTTTAGAACCAGTTCTGCTTGAACCTAACCCCGTGAGCCGTCTGGTTTCGCAAAGGGTGGAGCAAACTCCTCGCTGGCGAGGTTCTGGATGAGCAGGGACGACTAGAAGCCTCCCCACGGATGCAACGTACAAAGTGCTAAATTCACTCCCCCCCCCCGCACACTCTTGTTTGAAAGTCTTTAAGAGCAGTTTTGCACCATGCTTCTCGCTCGATCCTCTGCTTCTCATTCCTACCCGTTCTCCGGCCCGTCGCAGGCACCTTACAGAGGCAGGAAATGTGCGTTGCTTAACACACTAACCTCTTTTCCTTGTTCCGGTTGCCGGTTGATGGTTATCTCAACCCGAGCGCATGTGCCTGTGTGTCCTTCACCCTCCCCATGGGGCCGAGCGCGCGGACTGCGCTCCGGAGCCATCGCCTCCGGCCCGCTTCGCTTCTCCCCAGCAGCCCGCAAGGGCTCCCCCTCCCTTTGGGCACCGTTCAGGTGCGTGCACGCATCCCTCGGAGCAGGAGGCTGGCAAGGAAGTGCCGGTACCGAGGCTTCGCCTGGCAATCCGAAAGTCTTGGGATAGCGCAAAAGCTGGCTGCCTAGCAACCCCTTCTGAGTTGACAGGGGGATACGCAATGCTGCTGTCATGAGAAAAACGGTAAACGTGCAGGCTTGGGGAGGGGAGGAGGGGAGGAGGGGAGGCCCACCCTCCCCACCCCTCCAACGCCTGCCTTGCCGAATAGCATACCTTGTCCAGATCTCGGCCGCAGCATTTTCTTTGGGCTTGGAGAGCCATCAGACCTTCCCGGGGTGGGGAACGAGGATTCCAAGCCTTCCGTTTCCAAAGGAAATGTGGAAAAATATCCGGGAGAACACAAGGAAGCTTCAGCCTCCCATACGGCAGGCTTTTAGCACATCTTGGCTAGCCTAGAGGTCCTGCGGGAACCGCTTTTCAAAATACGAGTCCTTCCTCCCTCCTCTGAGGTTTCGAAACCCTTTCCCCCTTTCCGCTGCTTCCTGGATGTCCAGCTGAAAGGGACACCCCTTCGGGGACTGGCTTGTGAGTTTCCCCACCCTGCGAGAAACTTTAAAGCATAAAGCAACTTTGAATGCCATCGGCCACCAGGGATGGCTCCGAAAGATGGGGATCGGCCACCCTCCGTCGCTTCGGATGGCTTTCATTCTTTTTCTTTAGCCCAAAATGCTAGTAGTGCAACCCATTCAATCGTAGGGGGGTGGGTGGGAATGGAGTGGAGTGGAGTTTGTCACGAGGACAACACTGGAAGGAAATGAACAGCCTGGATGTAGTGTAGTCTTAGAATTGGAGGCTGACAGACCAAGGTGCTTGGCCTGGGCTGAACATCATTTAAATTGGCAATTCAATGCACAAAAACGTTTTCCTCCTCTAGCACAGCGGCTAAGCTATGTTATCCAGAAAGGCCCCTTTTTCCAGTCCCAAATATGAAGCTTCCTGTGTGCTAGAACAATCGGGTTTCCAAAGAGTCAGACAGATGTTCCCCCCCCATTCCTTTTCGGTCGAGTCTTTAACTATATAGCTAGAGACTAAACTCACACTTCCCATCTGCAAATCCTGTTTCAGGCATCAAACCACATTTCAATCATTACACGCCTTCCAGGTTGTGGAATGATTTGCCCCCGTGCAACTCCACACCTTAATTCTGAAACAAGCCTCCCCCCCCCCACACTCCACCAGCAAGTTTTTCAAACTGAGGAAGCACAGATGGACGGAAAAGATCAGACTTCTTTCCTTAAAGGGTCAATTTCATTCATACCCCCACCCCAACACCGAACATCCGCTTCTAAGAACCGTTAGTGGGGATCAGTTTAAAAATCTGGAAAGAGCTTTTGGAGATATCTGGAGCCCTCTGGGTCTACATTTCTGTTCCTGATTCTAACTGAGGATGTGATTTCTCTGTTCCACAACCAAGGGTTGATGAAAGGGCTTGGAATCTGAAAAAAAAATAAATAAAAGCTTTTCTCCGCAAAGCAGGCTCTGGAGAAATGCCTTTGCGTTGACCTCTACCGCTTCCTCCCCGTGTAAGGCTGGCGTCACGTGGAAGAACTCATCCCAGCTTCTCTTGCATGGCTAATCTTACGTCCCAGCTTCAGCAGACAAGTGGGTGGGCTGCTTTTCCAGTGCAACACGGACACCCTTAGCGCTGGGAGAGGAATGCGTAACTTTTCAAAGGGGATTGCTTTGAAATGGGCTCCAGCATCCATCTTGGAGCAGAGACGTTCCTCCCCATCCCAGCCCCCAACCCCTTTCTTTCTCTGGCTTCCCCATCACACAGTGG